AGCGGCCCCGCAGCTCCGCCCCCGGCCCGGCCCGGCCCGGCCCCGGGCCCGCTCGCCCGCCGCCCCGCATGGAGCTGTCAGCCATCGGCGAGCAGGTGTTCGCGGTGGAGAGCATCCGGAAGAAGCGCGTGCGGAAGGTGAGGCTGCCTGGGGGCGGCTCCCAGGACCCCTGTGGGGTCCCCTGTTGTCCCCAGCACCGTCCCCTCCACGCTGGCGGCGAGGGGGAAAAGTGGGGCGGGGGGCCCAGGCAGCTCCGCGCTGCTGGGCTCGTCTCCCCAGTCCGTGCCTCAGTTTCCCCCGCCGCCTTGTAGGACGGAGTAGAATAAAAGTTGTCGCCCCAGCATCCTGGGGGCAGCTGAGCCCGCCAGAGCTGGAGAGTAGGATCAGACTGTAGGGATCCTGAACGCCATCCTTCCTCAACCTCCCCTCATTCTAAATAAGGGGAGATTGAGGCCCAAGTTGAGGAAAAGGCTTGCCTGGTGTGTTAGCGTCGGAGCCGGGTCTCGAACTCAAGACTCTCGATTCGGTACCGAGACCTTTGAAGTTGGAGGCGGAGCTTCAGCCTCCCGCCTCCGAAGACTAACTCTGGACTTCGACCTTTTCGGATCCCTTCTACCCCCACCTCGGTCTTTTTCCCGGTCTTCCAGCGCACACCTCTCCGTCTTCCCCACCCCAGCTCTCAGCCCCGCCCGGCCAGGCTCAGTGAAGCCGCCCACGGCGCCGGGGCATCCTCTAAGCTCCTCCCCCTTCCCTTCGCCTCCCAAACAGACGCCCTGCAATTTAAGGAGGCATCTATTCCAGTGGGTTCGGGTACCCGCGCCTCGGGGCTTGGCTTTGGCGGTCCGTACGTCCTGTGCACCTGTTTGCAGAGCGGTCGCCTCGCGCTGGAGGTTGGGGATGGAAGCCCTTGGGGAAAGTTCATCCTCTGGCAGTCACCACCATCCTGTCCCCTCGTCTCCTCTCTGCAGCCCCTTGGGAGGCTTCAGTGGCAGGGCTGGGAGGGGTCTTAGAGATCGCCTTCTCCCTCCCGTTTGACAGAGGCAGAGACTCAGACCCAGGCGGAGGAAATGACCTGGTCAAGGTCACACAGCGAGCTAGAGATGGGGGGTAGAGCGGGAGCTCAAGTTGGCTCATTGCTAGCTCATCTTCTTTGGAGAGAGAAAACTCAGTCCCGGCATCTTGGGCCAAGGGTGAAGTTTGGGGTGGGGATTTTCTTTCCCCCAGCTCTGATGGGGTTGAACTCTTGGGGCTGCCCTTCCGCCTCCTTCTCCCTTCTTCCAAGGTTTCCTCGATTTTAACGTATTCCACGAAGCCCAGTGTTTTCCATGCACTGCAGCCTAAGCAGGTACAGCGGTTACCTTCCTTCTTCGTGGAGGGTGAGGAGCATCGTTCCTTCAGCCTTCATTCAAAACATATTTTTCGAGGGCCTGTTAACGCACCAGGCAGCATGCTCAGCCCCAGGGAAGGCTGCATCCCTTCCTTCATGGAGCTGGCATATTCTGGCAGAGGAGACACATAACGAACGAGGAAATACACGCAGATGTCCTCAAGTGGGGCCCCGTGCTATGCAGAAAGAGAGGCGGAAGGTGGGAGAGATGGCCTTAGCAAGGTCGGTCAGGGCGGGCCCCTTTGAGGAGGTGACACGTCTTGGTCTTAACGTTTCGGTGCGGATGGGTTTGCACTGGAAAGCCAGGCCCGGTCAGTGAGGAAGGGAGGGGTCAGGCTCTATTTTGTAACTACTAGAGATGTGACCACCGCTTCTGAAGGTGGAGACTCTGTTAGTCTTCTCTGGGGTCTTTTGAGTTGAGAGTCCTAAAGTCTCTGGGGGTCACCTCGGGGCCGGGGGCATCCGCTCCCAGAGAGGGGGCTGGCCGGTGGGGCCAGCACCACGGGAAACACAGCAGTGAGGGATTTTTCTAGGACCTGGAGAGTCTTCTGTTCTAAAAAGTTAAGACTTACGCTCTTAGCACTGGGACTCTGGACACTGGATCTTTGGCGACCCCTGCCCCATTTGGTCTTAGTTTCCCCATGTGTGACACGAGCTCTGAGCTTCTGCCGCAGGAGCCCCAGAAATGTTTGGGGCCAGATGTGCGCCTGTGCTTTCGCAGGAAGGACAGTCCAGGGGTGGTCACGCAGCAGCCAAAGTTTGGGTGTCTCTGGGTTGGTGGGGGATCTTGTGGGAGGGGGCGTGTCCCTGGGCTGTGTATGTGTTGGGGGAACATCAGTGCACAGTAGGGGTTGGGCCTTACTGTCCCGGGAGTGGTTTTGGGGCAGCCGTGTGTCTCACTGTTTCTGCTCTTCTTTCTTCCCAGGGTAAAGTCGAATATCTGGTGAAATGGAAAGGATGGCCTCCAAAGTAAGGCTCCTGTGTGTGTGTGTGTGTGTGTGTGTGTGTGTGTGTGTGTGTCTGTGTGTGTGTCTGTCCGTGTGTCTGTGTGTCTGCCTACCTGTTCACCCTTCTCTATGCCTCTTGCCTCTCTCCTGCCTAGCTTTTAGCTAGCTGCTTTAGTAATTGGCCATTGGACCTTGGTTAAATCATCTTCTCCTCTGGGTCTCAGTGTCCCCTCTGCCAGCTGAGGGGCTGGAAGGACATGAGGGCCAAGGTGGGCCCCGGCTCCTCATCTCTCCTGCTCTTCTCTGGGCTGAGCTTCATCTACTGATTGCAGCCTCCCCTCCCCTCCTTCTGGCCTTTCCGGGCACCTGGGAGGTGAAGGCCCAGCGTCTTGGCTTCAGAGACGGCTGCTCGCCAGGTGGAGGCAGAACAAATACAGGCCGAGTGCGGGTTTGTGGGGCTGGATTAGGCACGTCTAGCCAGTGCAGCATGAGTCCTCAGTGCCATAGAGCTAGGGGCAGAGCCTGAGCCCCCTATGCCTTTGGACAGCATTCTCCAGTCTATCAAGCAGGTTTCCATACAGCCTTGTGAAGCAGGTATGGTGGTGATCTCTAAAGATGAGAAAGCTTGCTCAGAGAAGGTAAGCACCTTGCCTTAGGTCCCACAGCAAGTGGAGGCAGAGGTGGGACTTGAACTGGGCCTCCCCGCTTGCGGATGTCTCCTCTGTGCCTCTTCCATCTTGGAGTTGGGGGACCGGGTGCTGGATCCAGGACTTCTCTCAGTGGCTCCACCTCTCCTGCTAAGGTCCAATCAGGAACCTTCCTAGTAGCCAATCACCTCCCAACAGGGCGGTGGGAGTGGGAGGGACTGAGCAAGTCGTGTGGCCTCTTCATTGGTCTGTGGGTGCCCTGCCTCCTTGCCCTCCTGGAAACCCCCTTGGCCCAGAGCCTCTGCTCTCTGTGCAGGGGGCTTTCTGCTGTGTTTATGTGGAGGGCTGAGCTGGTATTGGATTCTAGGAGCATCATGGGAGCCTGGTGGGGAAACAGAGCAGAGGGGAATACAGCCTATGTCACCTGAGCTTCCCTTTCGACAAAACAGGCTCATTAGGCCAGGCTCTGCTCCCCTCTCCCAGGCTCCTTCACCTTGCGGGTGAAAGTCCTGGGCCCGTGTGTTCAGGGCACCCTGCAGGCGTCCTGAGGATTGGGGTCGGTGGCTGGCCCACCAGATAATGCGCTGGTTGGCTCCCGCTGCCCCTGCTGCCCCCTCCCCAACACCCCAGAACTGGAGGGGGATCCCCTGCTCCTCACGGCAGATGAGAGGTGGACTCATGGGGGTGAAGAAGCAGTTACGAGTTGAGGGGGAGCTAGAAAAGGAAGATTACTAGGGTCGGCCGCAGGAGCGCTGACTCCCTGGGTGCACGCTCCCCACTCAGCTTGTGCGCCAGAAGGCACTGCACTGGGGTGTGGTCACCAGCCTGTTGGCCTTCACAGCACCGTTGGCTATTTTTCCTCCTCTGTAGACTTCCATCTTTTGAAGGATTTCCTTCTCTAAACAGAGGTACCTCTCAATGAAAAGTTCCTTCTTCCACTTTTTTATTTTATTTTATTATTATTATTATTATTTTATTTTTTTTTCCTTCTTCCACTTTTTAAATCCCAAACGGATATGTCTGCCTACCAGAGCTTCAGCCAGGAGAGAAGGGCCTGGCACTCCAAAGGCAGTCCCTCGTGCTTCTGCTGGCCTGAGCCCCTCACCCCGATGCCACTTGTTTCTTAACAGGCCGAGACTACCAGGGGGGCCTTAATGCCTGCCTTTGGTGACTCCCCAAAGGTTCTGGGAGTCCTGTTTGATCAGATGACCTGGGGCACCCCTGACTCTCCTGCACATTGGTCCTGGGTTCCTGGTCTGGTTCACAGCCGTCCAGGTCCCCAACATGGTGGGGCCTGTGGTCCCTCATCTCCAGGTTGGAATAATGAGGCCTGTGTCACAGCATTGTTGTGAGGATTAGATGATGGAGATAAAGTACTGGTGCTTTCTCAGGTGACCAGGCACTTAGGAAGTGTTTGTCGTTAGCACAAAGTCAGACAGCTCAGCTTCTAGGTTTCCCTGCAGCCAGGAAAGGGATCTGGGAAATCCCATTCGCCACAAAAACTCAACATAGCCTTAGAAATGATTTGGGTCAGTCCTCAGATGGGGAGACTGAGGCCCAAAGGGGGGATCGTTACAAGAGTATAACTTCCGACCCCATGCCACCTGCTGTATCACCCCACTTGACTTGGGGGAAGACAGGTTCAGTCAGGGGGAGAGCAGGAGAACCCAGGCCCTTTTATAATCCACTGGGGCTTAGGCTCCTCTTCTCAGGGGGCCTTGCTTGGAGAAGAGGCTGAGAAAGAGGCTGGGGAGTGGGTAGTTGGGCAGGCCTGGGAGCCTTGGCTGGGGGGAGAGTCTGATTCTCCTGCTCAGCAGCACCTTCCTCGCCGTGGCCAAGGAGGCTTATGTTAATAACAGAAACCATGATTTAAACAAACACTCTGTGCCAGGCCCCTTTTAGGCCATTACATGCTTTGCCCATTTTCTCTCCCCAACTGCAGACAAATGACTGCCCTTCATCCCCAGCAGATGGGGCAGAGGAGCTATCTTGTTTGTTCTGGAAGGTACTGCAAATTGCCCAGGGAGGGGCCAGGGGAACAGGGTGATGGATGTTAAGTCACCAGGTACAGGCTCTCTGCCCCACAGAGACTGTCGGATACCCCACCTATTTCAGCCTGCCCAGGACTGCTGTTCCCCTTTTGGGAATGCATTCCTCCCTTCCTTCCTTCTTTTACCACTTGTGAATACTACCCCATCCATCTTTTAGGGAGGACTGCCTCCATGGAGCTTTGGTAATGATATTGTCAGTGGGAACAGCAATAATCAGGCTGCTGGTCAGTAAGCACCTTGTCTGAGTCAGGTATTGGCCCATTTTTAATTGCCTCACGGCAACCTATTTTACAGATGGGGAAACAAATCCACAGCAGAGGAGGCCATGCCCAGGGTCATCTACAGCTGGGATCATTTGAACTATGGTTTGCCTGACCCCAGAATTTGGGGACCTAGCCCCTGTGATACACAGTCAGCTCTGCCAAAGGTGACTGAGGATCTTTTGTCCTTTGGTCTTTTGACTATTCAGTAAGAAGTGCCTAGGCTTTGGAGTGCCTAGGCAGACCAGGCTGCCTTTGAACCCTCGTTCTGTAGATTGACAAGCTGTGTGACCCAGGGCAAAGCCCTCAACCTCTGCACCTCCATTTCTCCACCTGTAAAATGGAGCCCTAGCCTCACAGGACCCTGGCAAGGCTGCCTGAGACCAGAAAAGTTTCACAGCAATGCCAGGGGCAGAGGAAGGGCGTCATCTCCTTCCAGCGCAGGGTTTGGGCAGCAGCAGCAGAGTCCAGGATTGGGGCCTGGGACGTTTTTGCACTTGCTTGGAACTGATTTCTTAACGAGTATTTGCTTTTATTATGTGTCACGCTGAACTAAGTGCTTCACGTGGCTTCGCACAACTAATTCTCACATTAGTCCCACTTCACGGATGAGTAACTGGAGGTTCCAGCGGCGGACTTACTGGCGCACCCGAGTCCGCCTCGCTGCTTCGTATTTTGGAGGGCTTTAAATGGGAGGGTGGGGGTACCTAGGGCGGGCCTGGCTCTGGGGGGGGCCCCGCCCCCTGCACGGCGGGAGCCTGCGCAGCGGAGCCCAGGCGGGGCGGCCGCGAGCCTGTTTACCCGGACGAGGGAGGGGGAGGGGGGGAGGGGGCGGGGCGGTCGGTCACGTGGCCGTGTTTACCTCGGAGCCGGCGCGCGCCGTCCCCGCCCCCGCCCCTCATTGGCTGGCCTGGTCCGGGGCGCGCCCCTCGTGCGTGCGCGTTCACGGCGGCCCCGCTGCAGGGGGCGGGGCGGAGCCAAGTGGGGCTCTCCGCCCCGCCCCGCCCCGCGGAGCGCTCCGTTCCCGCCCAGCCCGCGCCCGCCCCCCTGCACGCCCCGCCCCATCCCGCCCTGCGACCCGCAGACTCAGCTCCGTGGTATCTAGGCTGTGGGCCCCGCCGGCTGGGTGCTCATCTGCCCGCGCCCAGTTCTTCGCAAAGCGGGTTTGCCCTCGACGTGGTCTCTCCACATTGCGGAGCGGGGCTAATGGCCTCCACTTCATGGGACAGGGATGTCGGGGGAAGTGAGACGTAGCGCAGTCCCCCTCCTTTTTCTTTCGCGCAGCACGGAGCAGGACCTGGCCTGCTGCCTGGTCTGACCCTCTCCCATTGTTTCAGACCCCCAGCAGCCCCAGCCCAGTAACAATGTCCCCTGAATCCACTGACCCTTTCTGTGCACGTACTGTGTACGAGGCCCCCGTCAGACACAGGGCATGGTCAGTCGGGCACTGCCCCTCTTCCGAAGACATTACAGTCCGGCGGGGAGCCAGATGCAGTGACATGTGAGAGACCCAAAGGTAGAGGGTGGCCAAGATTCAACAGTTCCAACCACAGACTGGTCACGTGCTGTCTCAGTGACCTTGGCAAGATGCTTACCCTCTGTGCCTCCGTTTCTTCGTCTTTAAGTGGGGTAACCTACCTCATAGGGGTTTTGTGAGGAATTGAGGAGTCCCTGGCAGTCGTGCTGTTACCATGATGGTGGTGATTCTTAAGATGAGGAAACTGAGGTCCAGAGGAGGTTGGGGACTTGCCAGGAACCACACAGCACCTCCATCAACAAAGAAATGGGCAGGGCAGTGGAGAAGTGGGCAGGACAGAGAGGACTAGAACACTGTAGGGATATTCTAACAGAGCAGAGAGGGCGAGGCAGAGGACAGAGGACACAGGAGGAACACAAAATTCCTCTTTTCTTGTTTCTAGTTACAGTTGGGGAAAGTCAACCTTTGTTTTGGGAGAGGAAGGTTTGGAGTCTTTGCCAGTCTCTGGTTGCTTACACTTTGGGCATTACTCCAACTACTAAAAAAAAAAAAAAAAAGTTTCACTTTTAGCATTTCTTCAGGGTGAGCAAAACTCTGCAGTGGTTTCTGTCACCTTTCCCAGAGCACCGAGGGACTGGGGCTGGGCTGGGCACCCTGGGGAGGGCTTACAGCCTGCCAACCAAGATACCAGCTGGGTTCATCAATAATTTTGGAAGTACCAAGTGCCCAGGCTGTGGCGAGCAGCAGGGAGGAGGCTGGGAGTGGGACAGCTTGGAGAGGATGTCAGGGGAAGCTACAAGGGCCTGGCTCCTAAAGGATGAGGAGGTGGTCACCGAGGGACTGGCCGTCAGGAGGAGAGCACCGCACGTACAAGGAAGGTGTCATTGTGCCCGATCAGGCTGGGCCTGTGGCACTTGGGTAAGGGCTATAAGGTCCTCAGGGCACAGACCTTTGTTGCTGAGTCCACAGAGCCTGACACGGGGCCCAACGCACAGTAGGTGCGCAGAGGCATCCGTGGAAGGAAGGAGGAAAGGATCCTGTCCTTGGGTAGCTTATTGTTCGAATCCGGATTGGACTGCTGGTGGGTATCAGTGTCCCAGGACAGTTGAAGGTGAAGGTTTTAGCTCGGCTGATTAGGAGGCAGGCCGAGGAGGGGCTGCCCCCAGCCTCTTTCTGCCTCCTAACACCTCCGTGACACTTCTCACCTCCCTTCTTACCCAGCGCAGCTGGGGGCCACCTGGGTCAGAATCATAGTCCGTGGCTCTGGTGTTGTTTGTATGCATACGTGCGCACACATGAACACACATCTGTATTTATATGTTTGTGTGTGTATTGTATGTTTGTGTATGCATACACACATTTAGATTGGTGTTTTAAAACTTTTAGTTTTTTATGCACTGGCATCTGTTTATGGTGAACTATACTAGTTTTTCCATTCATGAAGTGATATAAAGTTGTTTTTTTTAAATCTATGTTTTTAAGTAATCTCTACACCCAACGTGGGACCCAAACTCACGACCCCGAGACCAAGAGTCGCGTGTTCCTCTGACCGAGCCAGCCAGGCACCCCTAAAGTTTGATTTTAAAATAAAATTATTAAACTAAAAAAAATGATCTGCTTTAGGGCCACCTGGGCGGCTCAGTCAGTTAATCGTCCGACTCTTGATTTCGGCTCAGGTCATGATCTCGTGGTTCGTGAGTTCGAGCCCCGCTTGGGGCTCTGAGCTGACGGCGCAGAGCTTGCTTGGGACTCTTTTTCCTTCTCTCTTTCTCTGCTCCTCCCCGTCTCACACTCTGTCTCAAAAAGAATAAATAAGTACACTTAAAAAAAAAAAAGTGATCTATTTGAAAGGCAGATATTAAGTAAATGATAGTGCATGTGGAACAAAGGTGGCTTGAGCTGCGGAACTGCTGAGCTCTGACTTCCAGATCTGTCCCAACAGGGGATGGTCTCTGGTGTGGGGGTGGTGGAAATACCAAGGGGCCTGCCGTGGCATCTCTGTACCAGTCACTAGACATCTACCAAATTCCTGCTGCGTGCCGGGCCCGACAAGGGAACTTCAGACCTGGCCGTGAAGGTGCAGATGTGTACCGAGGAGGGAGGGAGTAGCTCGGCCCAGGCAGAGAGGGCCATGCTGGGGCCAGGGCTTGAGGACGGCCAGGGACAGCAAAAGGAATAGGCACGGAGCCCTTAGGTGAATGCATTAAGCAGCACGGGAGTTCTTTATGGCCGGGGAAATGGAGGCACAGAAATGTTGAGGAAATCCTTCAAGGTTGGGTGGCGAGCAAGGGCAGGGCTGGGATTTGAACCCAGCTGGTCTGGCTCTAGAGCCTCCGCTCTTGACCACATGCTCATGCCTCTCATCGGAAGGGAATCCTGGGAGAAGGACCCTGTGCTTCTGAGGTGAACACGAGGTCTAACCGGGAGTTAGACACACTTGTTTAGAGGCTGATGTGATCGGTGCTCAGAATGAGGGCAGTCCTAGTGCCGTGGGAGCCTCCTGACCCAGCCTGGGCAGCCAGGAACAGCTCTCGGGAGTTGGTGACAATTATGCTGGACCTGCGAAGGGGCGAAAGCCTGCCCCGCCCCTGCCCCCAGTGGGCCCAGGTGGAACTGCCGTAGCTCCTGTGAATGCCCGTGGGGAGCAGGGCCGCGTCTGACCTCTCATCTCTCTCCCCAGGTACAGCACATGGGAGCCAGAAGAGCACATCCTGGACCCCCGCCTGGTCATGGCCTATGAGGAGAAGTAAGGGGGCCTCAGCCTGCCGCTGGCTCGGCTCCGGATGAGGGTCATGGGCAGGGGGCTCGGGGACTTGGTGGGGACGGCCTGGTCTGGTCTGCAGCTGGGGGTCCTGGGTCCCATTCCTGTCGCTGAGTGACGCTGGCCGCTCCTCTAACCTCCCCAGGCCTCGGTCTCTCTGCTGTAAAATGGGCCGTCTGTAATAACACCGGCCCCGGTTTCCCTAAAGTTGGGGTTTCAGTTGCTGCGAAGAGTGTAAAAATGCTTTTCACAGATGTCCTGTGTGAGGGGCACGGTATCAGTAATGCCCAGTCATGGCGTTGGGGACAGATCAGAGAGAGATTCTCCCACCAAGTGAAGGGAGGTCCGGTGAAGCTGGAGAAGGGACAGGGACCATGGCTTTGGAGCAAGGACATCTGAGTTCTGGTCCATCCCACTTGGCCGCCTCCCAGCTCAGTGGCCCTGGGCAAAGCTCCCTTACCTCAGTCTCCCTTACCTGCCAGTGCTCTGCTCCGATTCCCAAGGTTGGTTAGCGATCGGCAGCTCCACCGGTGGGCAGTGAGGGCGCATGTCAGCGGGGAGCCTTTGACAAAATGTCGTTTCTCCTGACGTGGGAGCCTTTTGAGTCTCGCCATCCCCGTCTGCCGCATGAGCTCCAGCTTGACCGACCTCCCTGCCAGCAGGCAGCCCAAACCCTCCTGCCTCTTCCCTGGAGACCCTGCAGGGCGGGATCTTTTCATAAAATTGTTTCCATTTGGCCCTTCGCGGTAGCCTCCTGAGACAGGGATGAGGGTCTCATTGGATGGGTGAGGAAACTGAGGCTCTGAGGAGCTGAGGAGCTTGTCCGGGCGTCTCGCAGCTGGGAAGCAGCCCGCCTAGGACTTAACCCAGGGCTTCTGACTCCCAAGTCCGATGCCCTTCCTCTGGCCCTCCTTGCCCTCTTCCCACGGCTTCTCCCCCAGGAACTTTCCTCTTGCCGATTCCAAGGAAAACCTTCCATGGTTCTTTCCTTTAAAAATCAGGGTGTCCCTGTCCCTCAGCTTCTTTCTTGCCCCTGGGTGCTTGGGAAAATCCTGTGGGATGTCCCGGACTGTAGCGAGGAGAGCGCCGGGCAGGTGCCAAAGTCCCGGGTTAGCATCCGAGCTCCGCTACTCGCCAGCTGTGTGGCGGTGAGCAAGGCCTTTTCCTCTTGGAGCCTCATCTTCCCCGTCTGTGAAGTGGGGATAAGAGTGCTGATCTCATGGGGCTCTCATGGGGACCAAGGTTTCTGAAAGCACTTTGTAGGCCAGTAAGTGTGGGCACACGTGTGTGAATTATCTTCCCGATGGTAACTAAGGGTCGTTCGTTCATTTGTGCAACAGGTATTGAGGTTCCGCTGTGTGCCAGACACTATTCCAGGTGTCTGGGGACACAGCAAGGAACGAAACCAACAGACAACCCCATTTTCATGGGCTCCAGTGCAGAGACCGGCAATAAAAAACCATCAAAAAAAAAAAAAACAAAACAAAACCCGTATACAGTATCAGATGGTCATAACTGCTGCAAAGACAGGGTTGGGGGCAGAGAGAGGGGATAGGTAGGGGTGCAGGGGTCAGTGGGTGGTTAGGTGGGGGGTGTGACCAGAGACCCGGATTAAGCGAGGGATTGAGCCCAGTGAGTATTTTAGAGGACATCCCAGGTAAAGAGAACAACCAGTACAAAGACCCCGGGGTGAGAGTCAGTGTTTAAGGAACAGCACGGAGGCCAGCGTGGCCGTGAGTGTGGCTGGCTGGGGTGATGTGAGCCGGGTAAGGTGTGGGAGATGAGGCAGGAATGGGGCAGCTGAGGGAATGGGGGGCGCAGCTCAGGGAGGGCCGTGTAGGTCCTGGTGCAAGATCCGGATGTTATTTTGAGTGAGTCAGGAAAGTCAATAGTTAAGGAACAAACGAAGAGCTTGTACAGACCCACTGTGTGACTTTCAGCCGACTTCTCTCTCAGTCTTGGTGAAAAGGAGGTGAAAGAGGGATGATGTCCATTGAACGCCTGCTCTGCAGGGTTTTAAAGAGACTCAGAGGGAGTCTGGCAAGGGGGCTCTTTTGGGGAGTCCCGCCCGCAGGGAGAGGCCGAGAGGGTACGACTCCTAAGTCGCCACAGCCCTACAGCACTGGCCATTGATGGGTAGGAGCCAAGGCTGGCAGAAACCAGGCCCTGGGTGGTAAGGACTGGATAGAATGGACCTCTCCCCCTTCACACATGCACGTGCACACACTCACACACATGCACGCATGCACGCTACAGATTGGAAACCCGGATCGTGTGGCCTGGGCTCCAGGCCTGCCCTGGGGGCCCTGATTGGACCCTGGGCCTGACCCTCACTAGGCCTGGAGCCCGGAGCTCAGCGGCAGAAGTTGTCAGAATTTTGGCATGGGGCAAGTCATTTAGCGTCTTTGTGCCTCAGTTTCCACAACTATAAAATGAGGATAGTAATAGTGGCTCCCTCACAGGGGGGCCTTAGGTAGAGCAGTGCCTTGTGCAGAGCGTCCGGTACGTGATGATCATACGCCACACTTACCTAATGTCACAAACACGCTCCCATCATTATTCTTTTCCCCTAAGGCCCTTCCCTTTCCCCCTGTCTACTTCCTCCTCCTCTTCCTCTCTTCTTTTTTTCCCTTCCTCCTCCACCTCACTTTATCATTTTAGCTTTTTCTCTCCCCTATTTCGATAAATCCCAGGGACCCCTCTTGCTTCTCCCAGGAGCCCTGGTGGCCGGCTGAGAAGCGACCGCTCGCTCCAGACGAGGACACTGAGGTCCAGAGGGGAAGCGACCGGCCAAGGTCTCCCGTGGATCAGGGGAGAGCTGGGCCTGGAACAGGGTGTCCTGGTGCCCAGCACCAGCTTCCGAGAGCAGATTCTCAGCCTTAAAGGCTGGCAGGTCCCTCCTGGCAGCCGAGCGGCTGCTATCACAGGGCCTTGGCTGCTGCTTTCAGACACCGGCTCCGGGGCCCCGGGGCAGACCTGCTGCGGCCAAGCGCACAGGCAGGGAGGGAGGGCCCCACGCGAGGTGCGTCTCCCCAGCACCCCTGGAGACGGCAGACAGCTGCCGCCCCGAGGAGGGCTGGCGGTGGAACAGCTGCCTGGGACTCGCCGGTTTTGCTGAGCTCAGATGGAGAGACCGCCCCGGGTCACACAGCCCGCAGCGGGAAGGGGGCACGCTCCCGGCCCCCGCATTCTCTCTCCTGCCCACATGGCCTCTGCAGTGGGGGCTAGCTATAGAAAGTGGGATGGAATGAAATGAAAAGGTGGAATGAAAATGGCTTTGAAGCTGTTGCTGGAGTCTCTGTTGCGATGTCTCGCATGTGTCCCGTGTGACTTTGTACACATCCTTGGGTTGCGTGTGTGTGTTTGTGCAGGTGGGTTGTGGGGAGGGCACCCAACAGAGAACCTGGCATCCACCAGGGACTCCGAACAGGCGGGCTTTCCTCCCTTTCCCCAACCAGATGATACAGTGAGGGCCTGTCCTCTCCACCAGGTTCATGCAGATCCCAAATGGGGGGACATCTGGGCAGGGCTTCGCTTACAGAAGGACCGTGCCCGTGCTCATCAGCCCCCCTGCGACGTCTGAGGCAAATTTGATTGGCAGGTTTCTATACAACTCTCCTGAGGGTGGCAACTGTTTTGTTTTGGAGGGTGTTCCCAGTGGCGTGCAGAGCGGGGCTCTGGCGTGACCTTGGAGCCTGGTAAAGACACGCCTGCTTTTGGAGATGTCGCCCGCGTCCCTCCTCAGCCTTAGGACCGGTGGCTGTGCCCTCCCCTTTTGTCAGAGGGGAAGACCGAGGCCCTGGGATATGAACATGGGACCCCGCGGTTACGGTCTAACGAGGGCAACGGGGAGGATCCCTACTCCGGGATCGGGGGGTGGCCTGTGGCGGGTGCCCCCTTCCCCATAGACAGCGGAGGGCTGGGCGGAGCGGATGCTTTCCTTTCCCTTAAATGTCACCAGTGTTTGCTTTTCTTCTGCCATCTGCTTTGCACCCCAGGGAGGAGAGAGACCGAGCGTCGGGGTATAGGAAGAGAGGTCCGAAACCCAAGCGGCTTCTGCTGCAGGTAACACCACCAGCCTCGGTGCCCACCCACAGCCCCCCCCGCCCCTTGCTCCTCCTACCAGCCTCCCCCACCCCATGCATTTGCACCAGCCAGTGGAGCCGAACCACTTAACCTCTTTGCTCTGCCCAGGGCACGGGCGCGGGTGGGGACTTAGTGGGTCCGTCTCCACGGGGGGGAGGTGAGGAAGGAAGACAGCCTGGGCGGGAGGTGCTGTGGGTACGGGGGAAGATGGGTCTATGGCTGGTGGGAGCCTAGACTTTTGAAAGCTTAGAGTCTTGTAAATTAGCCTTCATCACGCTCAAAGTCACCAGAACACAAGATTGTAACATTGGAGAACCTCAGACACATACACGTTAGAACTGAGGAAACGTGGGAGCCTGGGGTTTTAGAATCCAAGAAAAGGACACTCAGGATTCTGAGACCGTAGTCTTGAAATGCCCTAGAAATGTGTCGTTTTTGAGTGAGAAGAAACCTATGGGGCCCCCTTTTCCAATCCTCTGCCACAGGCAGGGGGGTTGTGTCTAGACTCTGGGACACCCCAAGTTACCCAGGTCTTGGGGCCACTTTGCTGACATCACTGGTCTGCTTGGAACGCGGGTGAAGTTTGAAGTGATGTGGCTGTGTGATTTGAGGCAGGTCTCTCTGCCTCTCTGAGCTCGAGCGTTCTCTGTAAAATTGGGGTGATCAGCGTACCTGCTCTCCTTAAGTGAATAAGGTTCACCCGGGTATTTGAAGCCAAAAATAAGGCTTCTTGGTCCCCACGCAGGGTGAGGAGACATGTCCAGTCTCCTGCCCACCCTTGATTAGAGATCACCTGGGACTTTTGCCAGATAAGGTGGGATTCCCTTCATGCGATGGGTATTTTCACAGGGTTTGGTGTGAATTGGGTCCCAGGAAGGAAAGTAGCAAACTAGCCCCGAACTTAGCAGCTTAGAGCAATAGACACTTAGTACCTCACCCAGTCCCGGTGGGTCAGGAAGTCAGGGGTCCTGTGGCTGGTTCCGTAGTGATTTCTAGTTCAGGTTAGGGTCACGATGTCAGCCAGGGCGCACTCATCTGGAGGTTTGACCGGGGCTGGACCGTCGGCCGGCTGCTCGCGTGCCAGCAGGTCAGCACGGGATGTTGACAAGAGGCCTGGTACTTTCCAAGGGCTCCCGGGTGGCCTTGCAGCGTGGCCACTAGCTTCCCCCAGAGTGGATGATGTGAGAGAGAGAGAGCACGAGGAAGGTGGGAGCACAGGGTCTTTACTGACTTAGCCTTGGAGGTCCCAACCCACAGTGCCCAGGGTTCCAGGGGACTGCCCATGGCTGTGAATTCCCCGAGGCGGGCATCGTTGGGGCGGTCTCAGAGGCTGGCCACTCTTTTCTTTGTCGTCTCACTGACGAAGAAACCGAGGCTCAGGGAGGCCGGTAGTTTACCCAGAGCTGGATTCAAACCCAGGTCTGGCCCTGGGTGCTCCTGGATGGCTGTGGGCAGCCGCAGGTTCTCGCTCTGTGGGCAGCAGGAGGGAGGAGCTTACTGGGCTCGTGATGGTCTGTGAGCCGGGCCGAAGGAGCAGGTTTTGGTAGAGCTGCCATCGGATAAGCCCTCCCGGCATGGCAGTGTTGACCCGATCTCCGCCTGGTCGGCCCTCCTCCTGTCCCATAACCACCCATGCCCCATGCCGTGTGACGGGCATTAGTGGGCAGCACTGGCAAATGGAGCCTGCGCATGTGGGCTTTGCTCCCAACTGGGAGATGTTTGACCGGCAGGCCCCATCTGAGGGCCTCGCTCTCCGTGGAGACTCTTGGCCCCTGGTGACAGGTGGCAGCATAAGGTACCGTCCCAGCGTGATCCACGCCTTCCCGACGCCTTAGCACCAGGGATCTCTCGTGGATTTGTCTAAATTTCTGCCAAAGTCAATTAGTCAAATCCCCGGAGTACAAAAATCCAGCCCTTGCGTGGCGGGAGAACGTGCCCTCCGGCCCCATTTTCACGAGAGTGAGACGGGGCATCGGCAGGGGGCTGGGCCCGCGCCGCTCAGGGGGAGGAGCACCTGGAGCGCCTGTAGGCTGCTGGCAGAGCACTGTCCCTGTGGCCGCGTGACCGTGCGCCCAGTGCCGCGTGCGCCCCTGGTTACTTGCCCCGGGAGCCTTAGGGCCTCCATCTCACACCATCTCCTCGACGGCCTGGCTGTTTCGGCTTTGGGGGTCCTTTAGTAAGCAGAAGTGCCTTTCCTGTGATGAAGAAGAACTCCTTCGTTTGTCTGCTTCAACGAACCAAGATTTGGTTTTTCTTGGTCGATGTTCAGTCTGTACCTCTTGTACGCTCCTCTGCTGTGCACCAGAGTAATCTTCCCTGCAGCCCCCATCCCGGCGCCACCTACAACCCCCTGGGGAGATGAGGCTGCCCCGTGGGGCCAGGATGAGTGGCTGTACCCGGCCAGGGCTGGGGCTGGGCTGCTCGGGGCTGGCTTTCTGGGCCGGGGTGGGGGTCGGGGTGATGGCCGGCTCCGGGCCACGGAACGCAGGGAAGGGCACTCCAGGCGGGGGGCGGGGAACGGCATGAGCAAAGGCGCGGCAGTGGCGGGGAGGGCAGGGCTGACCCGCCGTGCCCTGGCTTGCCCCCGCAGCGGCTGTACAGCATGGACCTGCGGAGCTCCCACAAGGCCAAGGGCAAGGAGAAGCTGTGCTTCTCCCTGACGCGCCCACTCGGCAGCGGGAGCCCTGAGGGGGTGGTCAAGGCAGGGGCGCCCGAGCTGGTGGACAAGGGCCCCTTGGTGCCCACCCTGCCCTTCCCGCTCCGCAAGCCGCGCAAGGCCCACAAGTACCTGCGGCTCTCACGCAAGAAGTTCCCGCCCCGCGGGCCCGACCTGGAGAGTCACAGCCATCCACGGGAGCTCTTCCTGCAGGAGCCAGCAGCCCCGGACGTCCTGCAGGCGGCCAGCGAGTGGGAGCCTGCTGAGCAGCCCCCCGAGGAGGAGGGTAAGGTGGCCAGGCCCCGAGGCCCAGTCCCAGAGCCCCTCAGAGCTGGAAAGTCCCCGCGAGTCATCAGGTTCAGCTGCCGTAAGGCCCAGAGAGGGCCCGGCTCAGCCTGGTCCCCCTCCTCCCGTGGTCCCACTGTGGGTGAACTGGTCCAGGCAGGGAAGATCAATGTAGTGGCGTCCTCCCGTGTGTCCAGCCTTGAGCTAGGCCCCAACCTGGCCGCGGACGTGGAGGGGGACCCGGTGCCGGGCTGGCGGGGGTCTGCATGCCGCCTCCCGCTCCCACCTTTCCTACGCTGTCGTCAACGCTGTCACCCGTCTCTCTGCCTTTCTCTCCCGTGGCTGCCGCAGATGCAGACCTGGCCGAGGGGCCCCCTCCTTGGACTCCCGTGCTCCCCCCGAGCGAAGTGACAGTGACCGATATCACCGCCAATTCCGTCACCGTCACCTTCCGCGAGGCCCAGGCGGCTGAAGGTTTCTTCCGGGACCGCGGCGGGAAGTTCTGAGTCACCGTTTTTACTCTTCGTAAACTGTTTGCTTTTGGGCTTGGGGTGGGGACTTCCAGAGATGGGGAGGGGTTGGGGGCGGGGTAATTATTTTATTTAAAAATATATGGAACAGGAGAAGGGGGGGAAGATCCTGACACTTTCCCGCCACCTCGCCCCTTTCTCTGCGTGTGATGTTTACAGAAAGGCTCGGTGGTCTGTCTGGGGGGCTGGGGAGGCCCGGCATCGCTCTGTCGGTCAGGGTGCCATCTCTGGGCCCCCCACCCCTGGATGCCTCCACCACCAGTGTTCTCTAGAGACGCAGCAGCTGGTCCCAGGAACCAAAGGAGAGCGGGAAGGCCCAGACCCTCCCCCTGAGCCACCCCCTCCCGCCTTTTCGGTTGGTTTCCCTTTTCCGTTTTGGGGGCGGCGGGTGGGGGTGGGTCGCTGTGTGTCACTTTCCACCCCAGCTTTGTGGCGGGATACGGAGGCTGGCTTTGGCCAAAAAGGACTGGGTCAAAATGAGGGGGCAGGAGGAAGGCTTTGAGGTCGCTGGGGTGCGTTCCAGACCCTTCAGAGAGGCCTTCCCCTGGGGGTGGCTGCCCGCCGAGCCCCTTCTCCGGGGAGCTCCCCCACCCGCATCGCCTGACCCGTGAGGTGGGCGCACCCGGCCCTGTGCCCTCGCGACCGCGCGCGCTGCCTGCAGGCGTGGGCCGTGGGCCTTGCAAATCTCCTGTTCAGAAACCCTGACCCGGGGAATGCGGGGCGATTCGCAGCACCTGAGAACTTGTCGGGGGCACCCCACCCTTAACCACCCTTGTACAGCACATCGTGTGACGGGCTCTGTCCCAACTCCGTTTGCTCACAGCTGTCAGCAGAGGGCAGGATGGCCTCCGATGCTCCCAGCACGCAGTGGGGTTTTGTGGCTTCACCTGACCGGCCACAGGTGTGCACGTGTCTGTGCAGGTGCGCCGTGGGTCAGCACTGGCTCTGAGGCACTTGGGCCCTGTCCTTCTTCCCCGAGGGGCTCTTGTTTTCTCTGACTCAGGTGACTTTTCAACCCTACCCACTCCTCTCTTTTTCTGCCCTCCCAGAGAGGGAGGGAGCGTCCCGTCACCTTCTCAGGGCAGCCTTCAACTCCCGAAACTCTCCCTCCTCCCATTCCGTGTCCCCTTCCCATTCGTCCGAAATGCCACAGCCGGGAGCGACCTAGTTTTGCTTTGGGGGGGACCTCTGCCGTGTCTCTCTGCCGTCTGGCTGCGGTGGACGGTGGGTCAGGCTGTGTGTCAGCCCCGGGCCCACCCGGCAAGGGGCTGTGGCTGCCAGGAGGAGGGGCCCTCGGTTCCTGGTTTGCGCAAATGTGCCCTGAGGGCAAGTGGCTTCCCAGGCGAGGAGGAGCGTCCTCTCCCCCTCTCCCCTGCCCCAGCCCTGTAAGGGAGAAAAAGCCAGATGGCAGGGGCGGGGGTGGGGGGGGGTGGGGGGCGCCAGGGGAGCAAAAGTAAAAGGCTGGCTCCCTCTCCCTTTCCCCCATCATCAGAGTGGGGGCGCTTGGGGGGGGGCCTGCCCGCCTTCTCCCAGGGCTCTCTCCCCACTCTGCTTTGTCCTGAGGAAGTCAGCAGAACCCTGCTGAGGCAAGGATAGGGCGGTTCTTCCCCCAGACCCCTTCTCCCCAAGTTCCCAAACCAAAGACAGCCTGTACCCCATTTTTGTTTGGGGTGCCCTGCTGGCAAGATTCCTAAATCCCTGAGTCTCTCTCTCCCCTCCCTCCTTAATCCTTCGTTGTCCAGGGTCAATTCAGTGCTTCCATTGGGGGGTGGTCCCCTCTGGTGGTTCCTCCCAGCCTGGGAAGTTGACTCTAGAGGAGTATGTGGGGGTGGACCAGGGAAGGAGGGGCAGCTGGACACCTCCACCCTGACCAGCTGGGAGACCCTGGGTCGGGGAAGGGCAGTTTGGAATTGGGGGGGGGGGTCTCCCAGGACAGGGGCTCCCAACAGATGTGAGGGTGGTGGGGAGGGTGGCCGGGGGTGGGGGTCTGTCTGATTGAATGCCGTCGCCCGTGGCTTTGGGACCCGGCTGGCGGCTTGCAATAGAAGGAACCCCCCCACCCCCAGGGGACATGGGACCTCTTCCTGCCTCATGGGCACTTTGAAAGAACTGTTTGTGCAATTAGCAGGCCTGGAGATTTGGGGGGCTCTTTGTGGAGTGAGACGGCTGATGTTCTGTCTGCTGCAGCAAAATGCTTCTTGCCCCTTCCTCAGCATCCCGCGTCTCAGAGAGGGCAGAACCCTGGGAGCCGGGGCTCCCCGCGGCTCCCTGGGATGGAGACCTCTATGAGGGGCTGGGTGCGGCCTGGCAGGCCTCTTCCCAGCCCTGAGCGTCCCAGTGGGGCCTGGGACACTGAGCTCCCACCCCACCCTTCCCCAGAAGGCCAGTACTTGCAGGGGTGGGGGTTCTTAGAAAGAGTTGGACCCCCTGTCTTCCCCCCCTCCAGCCCCCACCCATTTTGAATGTAGAGAGCCCGGTCGGTACTTTCCTCTTGCTGTGGGATGGGGCGAGGAGAGGATTCCTCCACCCCCACACGGCCACTTGTGATGCCCAGCCGAGCCCTGTCATCCCTCCGGGGTGATGATCCCCTTGCTGACTCCCCTCCTGCGGGGGCCGCTATGCCCGTGTCAGGTGGCTTAGCTTTGCTTTGTAAGTGGCCAGCCCGGCCTCCACGTCTCAGCACAGGAACGCTGCCTTTGCGCGGAATGAGCGTCGAGCTTTGTTCAGACAACGTGAATGTATTTGGGAGGGTTGGGGGTGTGAGTTGATTCCAAGCACATGCCTTTTCCGAGTGAGTGTGTGCTGGGAGGGCTAGAGCGGACGCAGAGCGCGGTTTATTTTTGTACTGATATTGGTAAGAGACTGTATAGCATCTATTTATTTAGATGATTTATCTGGTAAATGAGGCAAAAAAATTATTAAAAATACATTAAAGATGATTTTGAAAAAAAAAAAAAAAAAAAAAAAGCTCTTGCATTCGAGCCTTCGTTTTCGGCGGAGTCACAGCTGGGCCGTGGAAGGAGCTCCAGCCCCCAGGGATTTAGGTCCCAGGTCTGCCATTTGCTGACCGTGATCTTGGACATTTTCTGAGCCCTCCAGATGTACAGCAGGATTACTTTGGGTGGGGGTGGGAAAGTGGTTGGGGACTGGAGGCTGGAGCATAGATGGGCAGGCGCCCACCATTAGGGTCCCTCCAGGGTGTCATCAGAGGCCGGGATCCCTTCACCTCTTCTCTGCTTCCTGCCAAGAGTGTTCTTTTCTAGAACCCAGGGGTGGTCCATATCCCGAGTCTCTGCAGTTGCAGGTTCTGGAACCCTGGACTCTCATGGGCTGATGCTCACCTACCGTTCAGCTAAGCTCGGCACACTGTCTGGGCCCAGAAAGTGGCGCTCAGAGCAAACATGAGTGGGGGCTGGGAGAGTCCGCTACCCTCCTCTGCATTTAGGCTCATGCTGGGCTCAGGGTAGAGACCGAACAGGAGCGTGCAGGACTGGTAACAGAGAACAGGTAAGAGTCAACTTGTGTCCCAACCCTCCCAGTGGCCGCCCAGGTGGGGAGTGGTGGTGCCCACAGCCACGGATGTGTCAGGGAAAGAGGGAGAACCGATCGGCTGGCGATAGACTTAGGTGGTAGAATTACCAAGACTTGGGAAACGATTTGGCGTGAGGGCGAGGGAGGCGTCACGATGATGCCCCGGTTTCTGCTTTGGACAACTGGGTAGATGGTGGTTGTTCGTGTGGGTGGAGGCTAGAGGAGGAGAAGCAGGTTGGGAGGTGCCTTGGTCACCCCCAGAAGCAGAGCCCAAGACAGGGGCTTTATTTGGGAAGTGATCCAAGGAGTAGGGGTGAGGGGGGTAGAATGGGTCAGGGAAGGAGGAGAAGCCGCAATGAGGTGGGCTATTGAGGTCACCATTATGGCAACTACCGTGTCATTCCACCTGAGGTCACCCCAGAAGGACACACGTGTCGCCCAGAGTCGCCCATTCCCGAAGGATGAGGGCCGGGAGCATTATTCCCTGAGCGCTGGTCAAGGGTTGCCCCAGGGTTTGCGAACCCAGCCCCCAACTTCCAAGATTTGCACATGTCGGCGGCCACCGTCCATTACCCCATCTGTCTTATTGGAAGAGCCTGGGGCAGAAAGTGGAGACGCGCTGCCAGTCTAATTGCACACGGAACTGTCCCCTTCCACAGCTGACCCAGAGCCGAGGCCAAGTGTGCCCGGGGGGCCACTAAAGGCGTCTGACACGGCCCACGCCTCACACTGCTCCTCTGTGCGTTCGCTACACAAATTCACTCTCGTGGAGTCTTCCAGGCAGTGGCCAGTTACACTCTCTAAACAAAGACTTAGCAGCAAGAGTCCTCGGTGCCATAGCCAACCCCAAGCCTGTGTCTGACCCTCACCATCTCCCTCACTCAGCCCGAGTTCCCATTGGTCCAGGCTGTCTGCCCGGTGGGGTGACCCAGCCTCTTGTCCACGAAGAGTCTGAGTCCTTGTCGACTCGTCTTTGTCAGATCAGCTGAGTTTGCCGCAAGTGCCCGTTTAAAGTCGCCACCGGGCACCGAGAGATGCCTCAGTGACCTCTCTACCCGCAGCATGTGGCGGTGACCCTGGCATCTCGGGTAAGCAAGGTCAGTTCGCCACATCAGTTAAGTAACCACGCTTTTCGCCAAAGTGACCGATTGGTACTTGTAGCTTCCGAGGAATCCCTTACCCTGTGCCGGAAACCAGGTCGACCTCTGATTGACCAGGGTCTACACTGCCGCGGTGGGGAGGCTCTCCCTGGACACAGCACTGTTGGTGTCTACACTAGGTCCTGGCGGGCAATGGCCCAGCTCTGCAGGGCGATGGTGGCGGTGATGGGATGGATGGGTGGTGTGGGCAGAGAAGACAAACCCTCATCGCATGTTGATGTCCGATCTGGTAAGCGCCAACTGCCGACTTCTCCAGCAGGGAAGGAAGCCAGTGTAATCGAAGGGTCATCGACCCTTGCCACGAAGGGTCCGGCCGATCTCCTTGAAGGATGATGCCATATCGAGGGCGAACCCTCAGCACCTGCCTCTGACAGGTTGGCCATTCATCAGTGATGGGAACTAGCCTCGGGACAACTTTGGGAAAGGAAGCCCGGGCGGCCAGGCCACGCACACCCTCCGTGTCACACCCACTATGGTCATTCCACTGGTGGGTTTACTGTGCAGGCACTGGCTGTCAAGGGCAGAGGCTGGCTGTTGTCCCCTGTCAGATGGATAGATGGCTCACCCTGTCCTCCTTGTGAGATCCTCTCTGGCGAGTGCTCTCCAATGGGCACAAATCCAGCGGCGCACGAGAGAAGAACGAGGCACGAACAAGTCAGGGGCAAGGGAAAGGGAGCAGGGGTCGACAGTTGGAAGGACAGTCGCCCCGCACGGCTCCTCATTCCCATATTTATCGGGAAAGTGCGAACCATCAACAAAAAGACTTCAAGATTCACTACAGCGTTCAAAGAGCCTTCTCCGGAGAAGGAGAGAACTCGCTTAAGCGCGTGGCGGGAGTCATCTAGGGTCCAGCGAGCACAAAGACCCCGATCGGATCCGTGGCAGGTGGTCGTGGTCTCTGAGGAAGCGGAGAAGTACAGACCAAAGAGGCAGGCGGCGGGTCCACCTTGAGCGGGTCTCCCAGCTGCTCGGCTTCGCGACGTACATCGGCCACCTCTCCAGAGAGACCTTCCAATATACATTTTCTCAAGGCTCTATTATTTCTGGCATAGCTCTGTGTGGTGTTTTTCTCCAGTCATCGCGTTGTGGTGACGGGCCGTCACCATGTGCCCCCTTCAGGGGAGAGCAGGGTCAGATGTGAGAAATCCATCCCCAAATTTCCACCAACCCGAGCCTTCCGACCCCTCCCTGGCAACTATGCCCAGGCGGGTTTTAGCACCTGTTGCGGTCACCTGTAGAGGCAAATGAGCCCCACCCACCCCCCCCCTCCCAAATTTGGTTCAGATGTTGAGATTCATGCCACACACACACACACACACACACACACACCAGAAGGGTGTGGAACTACCGATTACATGCATAATTGAGATCTCTGGGGAGAGTGGGGGCGGGGTGTCTCTCAGGCGGGCCCAGAATGACCTGAGAGGAGAGTGGCCCGGGTTTTCTCGCTGTTGGGAGGGCGGGCCGGGGCCAAGCTCCTCGGTACCGGCCGGGTTTGAATCTTTTGCCCAGATGTAGGCTTAAAAGCTGGCAGCAGTTAAACACCAAGATGGGGATTCAGGTCCCTCCCGACAGCATCTCCATCCCACAGTAGGCCGTCAGGGCCAGGCTTCGCGGGGCCACCTTGGCCGTGCCCCGGCGCTGTCACCAGGTGTCCTTGTCGGCTGGGGAGATCCTGCCGCCTGGGGACGCTCTCTCCGAAGGGCCGACATCTTCTCCTGTACGGTTTATTCGCGCCACTAAGTCTCAAACCCTCCAGTCCAGCCCCGCGTTGCGGGCTGCGCATTCCTGCTCCGCTGTGTCCGCGGCTGCCCCGGCTCCTGGGAGCGAGTTGACAATTTCCTCCTGGGGAGGGAGCGTGTTTCCCTGCTTGGTCCACGCCGGGATAAGGAAAGGAGGCAGAGGGGAACCTTGAGAAGGAAGAGTGTAATCTGGAGGGGTATCTGCCTCAGGTGAGGCCTTCACGCGGTCACCGAGCGAGGGGTCTGCCCTTCCCCAGTCAGGGTGACGGGCTTCCGATGCCAGCCTGAGGGGTCAGGAGACTTTGGTGGTCAAGTTTCTCAGACACCTTATCCCAAATGTTTCCATCCCGGGGCTTAGGGTTCTGTTCCTTCCCTGTCAGGGTCCCCAGTAAGAGGCCTGCCAAGGCAATGTGCCCAGCCTTGTCTGCACCTCCTGTAGCTAAATATCGGGCCTGATGGTCAGCAAGACGTACCCTAGGGCTTTGGGAGATCAGGGGCTCTTTAAACGCTGTCATAAATATGAATATATGTCATAAAACATGAAAAAATATGATATATATAGACATATATAGACACATATATAGACATATATATAGACATATATATAGACATATAGACCGTCTATATATATATATGCTATATATATATGTCTATATATGTCTATATATATCATATTTTTATATGACATATATATATATAGAAATGAAAAATAACTATTTTCCCAAACAAAAAACTTACAAGAGCTTTCACAGCATAACCAGAGTTGACGGTGGCTGGTCTGAGGCCACCATTTTCTTTCTCCAACGCCACCATTCAAAGACTAGAGCCCTCGCTATCTCAGCACCCTCACCTGTTACGGGTTCACTTGTGTCCCCGCCTCCCCCTGCCTCCCTAAATTCATGTATTAGAGCCCTAACCTCAGGTACTTCAGGATACGACTTAATTTGGAGACAGGTTCTTTACAGAGATAGTTAAGTGAAAGTGAGGCCACAGGATGGGCCCTAGTCTGATGTGACTGATGCCCTTAGGCAAAGGGGAAATGTGGGGCCCAGAGACAGAGACAGAGGGAAGACGATGTGAAGGACACGCTGAGGGGGAAGGCCGTCTACAAGCCAATGACAGAGACCTGGCACAGACCCTTCCCTCACAGCCTCAGGGAACCAACCTTGCCAAACACCTTGGCCTCAGACTTCAGCCTCCAGAACGTTGAGCAAATAAATTTCTGGTGTTTGAGCCGCCTGGTCTCCCCTTGTTACGGAGGCCCCAG